CTCTCTCTCTCTCTCTCTCTCTCTCTCTCTCTCTCTCTCTCTCTGTGCCTCTCCAACTCCCCTGTCAGTTCATTGAAGTAGACAACATTGAAGTAGACAACAGAGGTAAGTACTCTTTTTCGCTGTCTGTTAACCAGTCTCTCTCTCGCTCTTAGTTTCAGTCTCTGTGTGTTTTCCCACAGTAGACAGTGATCAGGTTTATCATTGCTGCATGTCCCGTGTCCCTGTCGATGTGTACTGTGCTCTACAGTTGGGTCACTTTCTACAATGACTGTACTTTGCCAGCTGCCATGTGCACCTAGATAGTGTCTGCTAGTTTGCTTACCCTGGTGATAATCAAACACCCATGTGTGCCTGTGTGCACAAGTGTGTATTTTACAGTTCAGGTTCGTGTCCTGTTCATCACTCTTTACCATCACTATAGCCTTGTGAATACAGACTGCTTGTTACACCCTGTTTTGTCCCTTTGTACAGTAAACTGGGAATATATACACTCAGATAATCTACAATAGCATCTGTGTGTGTATGTGTGTGTGTGTGTGTATGTGTTTCGAATCCCATTGTCAGACAAAGCAGTAGCAGAGACAGCGAACAAATGTATTTAGGATTAAAATAATACCGAGAGCAGGGTGTTGAAATCATTCATTATTGTTGGCTAACAGTGACTCTTTGCTAAAGCTTTAATCATGATAGGTCATCATTTTTTGATTGTATGGCACATGCTTTGTATAAACACGTCAGATATTTCCACCAGGTGTTTCCCTTTTGAACATGTTCCAAGTGGAAGTCTTGTTGATCTTTCCGCATTAGCTCAGGACTTTGATGAATCAATGAACAGCTTAGCTTAAAACCAAATCAGTAAAATCCATCTGTAGCCATTGGTTACAAAACAACACAACTACAGACATTTGCAAACACCCCCCCGACAGGCTCTCTCTCTCATACATACAAACACACACATGCTGTGACATCACGCACATCTGGATGCAAGATTGGCTAACACACCATTCCTCTTTCCCCATCTTCCCCTTTCCCCCGGCAACCCTCTCGCTTCTTCTTCCCATCCGTCTGTCTGTCTGTCTGCCCCCGCTCTCAGAGATGAAAGAGAAGAACCCCTGGCACACGCCGGTGACCATCATCATCACTGTGATTGGTGTCATAGCGATTGTTGCCTTGGTGACGGTAGCAGTTTTGCAGAACAGGCCCCTCCCCCAAAAGTACAAGGTACGGTAGAGGAAAATACCAAAGTGTTGTAGCCTGTTCCCCCTGTGTGGGGTGTGTGCCCAATGCATTACTGTGGGATCTCTGTGCAATGTCCACAAGCCAAATATGGTCTCTTGTCAATATGACCTCAACCTGTACTTCTGGTTCTAGAAATCCACTTCCAAATAAGGTCGGCGGATGTGGATAAGAATTTTGAATCACCACTCCTTTTTGTCACCAATGCAGGCCCAGAAAGAGAAACACAGCTATCATTGATTACAGCGTCTAGAGTGCTGTTCTACATAGTTTCAGCACTAACACTGTTTTATTTGCACAGATAAGTGCTTTAGTTCCGGAAAGTTTGTCTGGGGGATATACAGTCATGATACTTCAAGTGCATGTCTGGATGGAAGTCATCCAGAGTAAAACGGTTCCCGAGTACTGAACTGGAATCTACCTACTTCTGTCTCCACTCAAGTATGGGATTGTGCTGGACGCTGGCTCCTCCCACACAGCTCTGTATATCTACGAGTGGCCGGCTGAGAAGGATAACAACACTGGAAGAGTTCAACAGAAGCATTCCTGCAAAGTGGACGGTATGTGCTGCACAATGTCGTCACATGTACACACTATACCCTCACATTCGCGTATGCAACCACTAATGCATGCTAATGCAAATATTTAGGAAAGCGCAATCATGAACATGTACATACACAGTTCACTAAGAGCGTTCAGTGTTCTTCAATATTCAAATTATGCAGCACTAGAACAATACACTTTAAAGTGTCTTAATGTGTAAATCAGTACTTGTTGATACCAATTTCTAATAAGACATACTTTTTAATGGCTTAATAAGTTGTAAATAATGTAATTGGTTATCACTTAATCGTTTCAGCTCTAAACCAATTACATCCTGTAAAAGGCATCTACAGCCAAAAACTATTAACATTTACAACTCCACAGTTTATGGATTGTTGTACTGGAAGAGACATGTATTAATAGTTGACTTACATTTATGGCTGTGGATGTAAATGCTGGATGATATGGCCCGTAAGATAAGCTAGTTACCTGCTGCTTATAGAACCATAACGTACAGATACGAGAGTGGAGAAGCAAAGGTACGTCCCAAACTATTCCCCAAACAAATGATTTATTCATCATTGATAAAGCCATTAGTTACAACATAACAATTCATAGAAAGTGGTACCTACAGTGCATGTGTTGTACGCATGTGTAGATGTGAAGTCAAGGTATATTTTGTCCTGGAACTGGCATGGAAATCCAAATGTCCAAATGCCTCAGTCTCAAGGCAATCTTATGCAACCAAATCTCTCTGAATTATTAAAGCAACTTTAAATACAAAACATATAACAGTCTGTCAAACTGACTCAGCTTCTGTTCTGTAAATTTATTTAACTGCTGCTTTCTATCGCTGTCGGTGCGAGGGCCTCCTTCTTTTTGTAATTTACATTGGCTATCAAAGCTTTTTAAGTACAAAGCTTTCATTGATACCAGATGGTGGACTCCCATGGACAATAGAATCAACATGCTTCTCTGAGAAAGGGTTGCTTACAACCACACTGTCCAGCGCTTTTTCAATAAAACTATATATTTTTGAGCTGTTTTGAAAGGTTTAAGTAGCTGGTGCTGAGTGCCACTATCTGGCTAAGGAAGTCAGAAAGTGTTGTGATATAAACTAAAGCTTTGCTGGTTTTGGTCTTTTCATGGGATTTGTGAAGACAAACATAGAATACAAACAGGCCTTTAACCCAGCTGAGAGGTGAACACAAATAGGGAGGAGATGCACATACATGCTGGATATCTAATCAGGGATATTACTGGCTGTAACCTTGCCCACTGGGAACCTCAATTTAGGGGTTGAGTACCTACTTAAGGGAGTAAAGCATGCTTCTAGGAAGCGGACATCTTGATGACGTCATCCCCAATCTTTTTTTTTTCTCCATAGCAATTTCCTCGCCAGCTAATGGATTTGTACAGATGACCTTAAATTCCTAAGCAGGCTAGGGTCTCTGAACTCACGGCTCTAAATTATGTTTTACGGTCGCTACATTTAAGCTCAACGACTTCAACCTCCTCTTGACATTTTGCTCAACTTGCAGGCCCAGGCATCTCCAGCTACGCATCCGCTCCACTGAAGGCAGGGGAGTCTCTGAGAGAATGCATGCAGAAGGCCGAGAAGTGGGTGCCCAGCAAAAGACACCACGAGACGCCTCTTTATCTGGGGGCTACTGCCGGAATGAGATTGCTTAAGTACGGTAAAACCTGCACACACACACACACACACACACACACACACACACACACACACACAC